GGGGGGGGGGGGCTGTCCCTGAGCTCCTACGGGACACTTCACTGTCTGGGCAAAGAACGGGGAGGGCTGGGAACTGGGGCTCCTGCAGAGTGTCCCATAGACAGTGACTGATACAGGAGCCTGAAGGCCCCGGCTTCAAGGCTGATTGAACCCAGGTGTAATTTTTTTTCTTTTTGTGATTTCTTTCCTTTTGTTTTTTGTGGTAATATGTACATAACATAAACATTACCATTTTAATTAAAATATATATATATATCTTTACTGATTTCAGAGAGAGGACTGGAAAGAGAGTTGAAACATCAATGATGAGTCATCATTGATCAGCTGCCTCCTGCAGGCCCCCGACTGGGGATGGAACCTGCAACCCCAGCGTGTGCCCTAATCAGGATTGAAACAGGATCTCCTGGGTCCTAGGTCGATGCTTAACTGCTGAGCCACGCCAGGCTGGGCCCCAACTAAAGTCCTTCTATCCATTAAACAATAACTTCCCATTCCCTTCCCCCCAGCCCCCGGTCGCCTCTATTCTGCTGTCTTCATGCACTTGCCTGTTCTGGGGGCCTCGTTTCACTGGATTCATGCAATATTCGTTGAAGTGTAATTTTTGCTCCAGGCGGTGCTCTTTCATTGGTTTGCACTTCCTTACTGTTGGAATGAGAATTTTGCTCTGATTTCTATACGTATCATCATTTATAGTTCATTTGTTGAGTGTGTGTATCTCTCTCAGTGGATGGTAATTAATGGACACAGAACTTCCACAATGTATCTCCTTGCTTTATCCAAGGCTCTTTTGGTTGCAGGTAGAGACACCTTCTCATAATATCCAATGAAGGAAATTAATTAAGGATACAAGTGTTGGAAAGCTGCCAACAGCAAAGCCATCACCCCTCTCCCCCTCCATCCCCATCTCATGTCTATCTCTGTCTCTGTCTTTGTCTCTGTCTCTGTCTCTGTCTCTGTCTCTGTCTCTGTCTCTGTCTCTGTCTCTCTCCATTGTTCACATAGTCTTGGTGGGAAATGGCTGCCCCTATATCACCTCCGTTCGCAATCACACAAAGGTTGGCTCTTTCTGAAGTCCAATCCCTAATTCCTGAGTGGCCTAGCTAGGGTCCAGAGTTGCCCCTGGCCAGTCATGCTGTGACACTGTGGTTGTCCTCAGGACATTTTCCTCTCCTCCTCAGGTACCTGGCCAGCATTCCCAGCCAAGTAGGTCAAACTGTCCCTTGGCTTATGACTTTGTCCAGAGCTGCCCTACTGCCTGTTGAATGACCCTTCGTAGCCTAGAATCTTCTCTCTGCCTAGGCCAGGCGAAGACAGTCACAAGCCTCAGTCCCACTATTCAGAGGAAGGCAGGACTGTCCCCTCGAGAAGAATTTGGGGCAGGTTAAGGCTTATCTGTAGGCCAGCTGGAAAGACAGGTCACAAATCAATGAGATTATTTTCCCTATCAGGTCAGAATCTGGTATCTTTTATTCACAAACTCCTGAGTAGTTGCTATGGACTGGCAACTCCCCAATATTGAAGTGTCAGGAGCATCCAGCTTGAGGACTCTTGTCCCAAATACTCTTCTGAGAATTACTTGCTAGATTTGAATGATTAGAATTTGGCTAGGTTCCTCTCAAGGGCCTTATTTGCAGGTTGAGGTGAAGGGAGTTCTCCTGTGTAGTCGATCAAAAGATGCATGGATGAACAGAATGTAGCCTATCCATACAGTGGAATATTATTCAGCCACGAAAAGGAATGAAATAGAGATACATGCTCCAATATGGATGAACTGTGAAGACATTATGCTAAGTGAAAAGGCCACATATTATATGATTACTCTTATAGGAAATATCCAGAAAAGGCAAATCTATAGAGACAGAAAATAGATTAGTGGTTACTAGGAGCTGGGGAGGGAATAGAGAGTGGAGGTCTCTTTTTGGGGTGATGGAAATGTTCTAGATTTGATTGCGGTGGTGGTTACACAACTTTGTGAATATATTAAAAACCACTGAATTGCATATTTAAAATGGTTAAATTTCATGGTGAATAAATGATACCTCAGTAAAGCTGTTTTTAAAAAGTGCTTTGGTTACTCTGCCTCAGTATTTGGCAGATCTAGATAAAAGTACCAGGGGACTAGAGTTCAGTGTGGTTGAAAAAAGCAGTATGCCCCGCCGGGTGTGGCTCAGTGGTTGAACATAGACCTAGGATCCAGGCGATCGGGGTTTCATTCCCGGTCAGGGCACATGCCCGGGTTGCAGGCTCGATCAACGACTCTCTCATCATTGATGTTTCTANAGATAGAAAGGTGATAGGCAGAGAATTTCTTTTTGCGGTGATGAAAATATTTTAAAACTGTGGTGATGGTTGCACAACTGAATAGACTACAGACTATTGAATTGTGCACTTTAAAGGAATGTATTGTGTGGTTTGAGAATTCTCTCAGGAAAGCCTTCAAGGCTCTGATGCAGGATGAGTGCCCTCTAGGGGCTCTCAGATTTCCAGAGCCAGTCACAGGCCACTTCTATTTTTGGAGATTTCGATAAATGAAAAATCAGAAAAATGCCTAAAAAGGGGTAACACAAACGCAGCGAATGTAGTTTACATTTCTATTGACGTGTAAAATACGCATAGAAAAGTGGGAATATCATCAGTGTATATAGCTTGATAGATTTTTGCAAACTGAACACACCCTTGTCTGGGACTGTCTTGGGAACCAAAAGTCTAAATTCAGCCCCTTCATATTGGTGAGGCCACTTCAGAGTGACTCTGTAGGACCCCTCTTTTCCCCTCATTTTTTTCTATCCTAATCTCTAGGGTTATGCCATCAGGTAGGTGGCTATTTAATATTTAAATTTAAGTGAAATAAAACCAAAATTCAATTCCTCAGTCACACTAGCCTGGTTCCAAGTATTCAGTAGGCACATGTGGCAACTGGCTACCATAGGGGACAGCGGAGATACAGACCATTACTTTCTGAGACCTCTATCCCTTCCTTAGGAAAGTTTCCTTTTAATTCTTTCCACCCCAATCCTCTTTTTTTTTTCTTTTAATTGGTCAGAAAAATGCTTTGTCGGAACCTAACATAATGTCTGCAGGGATAAGCCAGTGGAAATTACAGTGTTTGAAAATAGTTGTTAGGCAAAGAAATGCAGATAATAAATCATCTGAAGGAAAAATGCACAGCCTCACTAGCAATTAAAGAAATGAAAGTTGAAACAGCCCTGCCGTACCATGACATACTGTCTAGACTAGGAAGAGGGTGTAAAAATGAAGGCCTGTGGCATTGGCAACACTGTTGGGAAACAGGCACCGTTACATACATAGGGCTACCCACCCTGGCGATTCAATATTTCCTTCTGAAGGGCCATCTGGAACTATGTAACAGGGACTCTGAAACCATTTTCCGATTAAATAATTTCACTGAGTGACTACTTTTTAATGGTTTACTAGACAGGTGGTGTAAGGTGTAGTATGGGTACCCCACATACTTTATTTTTTAAAT